AGCGATTTGAAAGTGGAGCGCTTTCTTTCGAGGCGTGCTGTGTCTGGGAGCTGGTTCCACAGGATAGCTCCAGCATGGCTAATGCGCTTAGCTGAGGATGCAGTGGGGGAGACAGGAATGATGAGTAACTTGCTGGTCCCTCCTCGTGTTCGGAGAGAGGGACTACGGGTGAAAAAGCTTGCAAACAGAGTACTTGAAGATTTGTTCAGGCAGCGCCAAATGAATACAAGGATGTGCATGTGGGTGTATATGCTGAGGGTATGGGCATTCATGCGTTCAAGTAAGGGAGCCGTGTGAGTGCGAGGGGCTGCCCTGCACACCGAGCGAGCCGCACGTTTGAACAAACTATTTAGGCGCTTATCCTGATAAGACGATAAGAACTTGGGGCATAGGCAGCAGATGCATAGTCAAATTCTGATAGTATAAAGGACCTGAAAAACTGAACACGGCAAGAAAAAGGCAAACATGCTGCACTTCGATTTAGTAGCCCAATCTTAGCGGCAACGCGGCGTGCAACATGGCTTGTCATGGTGTTCCAGCTCATGTCTGAGTCGAAATGTAGGCCAAGATACTTGGCCGTTTTCACAACAGGCAGCGTCTGCCCATTACAAATGACATGCAGCTCAAGTGCTTGAGATGGGGATGGGGGAATAGGCAATATTTGTGTCTTTCTTTCATTAAGAATTAAACCACGGCCCTTCAGCCAGGTGGCCAGGTGCTGAACAGCAGCTGAAAGGTGTGCAGAAACAGCTTCCGCAGACTCCCTGCTACATCGTATAGAGATGTCATCAGCAAACTGGATTGCTCCCACATTAAACGGTGATAGTTCTTCTGCTATGCCGCGGGCATAGACAATAAATAGCAGTGGGCCCAGTACCGACCCCTGGGGGACACCTGAGTATCTGGTGTACGGGAGACTTCTAGTCTGGCCAACCTGAACGTACTGTTCTCTATCAGAGAGGTAATCCACCAGCCAACAGAGTGCCGTGTCGCAGATGCCAAGTTCGAACAGATCTTGCACAAGAGTTTGATGTTTCACTTTATCGAATGCCTTTGACATATCAACAAAGGCTACACCTGTGTTGAGTCTGTTCATACGGGCCTCACAGATACCTTCCACAGCTAGCACTAGTGCGTCGGATGTAGAGTGGTGGGATCTGTAGCCGAATTGAGTTGGCGGGAATAAATTGCTCTGAACTAGATATCGTGTGAGTTGCTCGTGGACTATCCTTTCCAACACTTTGGATGCAATCGATAACAAGGACACTGGTCGATGATTCTTTGCCATGCTCGGATCTCCGCCTTTGAAGAGTGGCGATATCCTAGCACTTTTCATCTGGGCAGGAAATATGCCCTCTCTCAGGGACTTGTTAAAGATCAAAGTCAGGGATGGCGCCAGTACGTCTGCATGTGCGCGGAGAAGGGCTGCAGAAATGTCATCATCACCGCTGGACTTGGCCGGATTTAAACGTTCGAGGAGCTTCCTCACTCTGGCAATAGACACTGGCGCAAAGGCTGTCAGATCAGTGCTTGAGGCGGGCCCGTAGGGAAATGAGAGATGCACTGGGCGGCTGGCGTCCTCTACTATCTCTGCAAAGGTGTTTCGGATGGCATCAACAGAACATTGAGGTGGCTGAGATTGTCGATGTTTACCACTCAATTCTTTGATCGTGTGCCATGTCTGTTTGGTATTGCCAGACGCAGCTCGAAACTTGGATTGGTAGTAGGTCTCTTTCTGTTGCCTATTATAGCTGGTAGCTTCCCGCCTGGCAGCCTTGAAAGCTGAGTGGGAATGTTCTGTTCCATCACTAAGCCACCTCCTATGGAGCCGGTTGCGCTTGGTCAAGAGGTGTAATAACTGGCGGTTCATCCATGGTACTGATTTTTTCTTGCGTGGAGGGCTTGGTGCAAGAGGAGCATGTCTGTCTAACACTTGTAGAAAGCGGCTGGCCCACTCAGTCCACATGACAGTTGGGCTTCCGTCAATTTCACAAAAATCCTGTTGGACCAAATCTGCCTTGAACTGGTCATGATTTATGTTTCGGTAGTGTCGCCGTAGCCCAGACGTTACAGTACTTCTTACTGGGCTGAGTTGAAATTCACTGAGAACTGCTGCATGGTCACTGAACGCGATGGGGATAACAGTAGCCATATTTAGAGGGTCGAATGTGGCTCCATCCCTTATCTCCTAAGCTACCACCCCCCCCCCCCCCCCTGGTAGCTTAGGAGATAAGGGATGACTGCACTATTGTTTTTAAGGTGGCAGGCTACCTTCGGCACCAGCCGATAACATACATGCATTCAAATGTCTGTAACATTGGCATCCCTCATTATTTTTGCACCAAATTTTCTACACATGCTGGTCAGATAATAAAGAACACTTGAACAAC